TCTACCTGTTCACTGTGCTCAGAGCCAGTGGCCCCCCAATAATGAAATCAAGACATGGGTCAAATTGAGCTCTGTCCTTAAATTCACAAGAGTCATATTTAGTACCTAGCTTATTCCCTGGAACACAGCAGGCACCAATTTTCTAGAAGAAAGAATGAGGGAAGATAGTGTCTATGGAATTGTGAGCAGGTCTGAGTTTCCTGAAGCTGAACCAAGGATTCTAATAGATTTAAGACATTTGAATGGTAAACTGAGGAATTTATGTTTTCATTTATGCCTGCATCCAACAAACATTTTTTTGAGAGCTACTTTGTTCTAGGAATAGTATACCCACTTCTTCTTGACAAAATGTACTTGAGATTCCTCTGCTCTTGGTTTGCTTAGGGGAAGATCATCAGTCACAGTCCCTGCCTCTCACTTCAGCTCAATTCAGGGCTTAGGGTATGGGTGAGTCTGCAATGTAATGAATATTATTAATAAAGACAAAGCAAAGAAGGAACAGAAACATAAACCCCCTTCCTCCTTCTCTTTTTTTCTGCCACTATTTCACCTTGCCACCATTTCCCTAAGGCTGGTTTCTATTCTTACTTCATCCTACCCTGCCTTCCTAGTTCCTCTTCAGAAAATTCCAGAATTCATTTCCTCTGAAATATAGATGAACCTAACTGGTGGGAATTCATAATGGCGCAGCCACTTTAGAAGACAGATTGGCAGTTTCTTACAGAAATAAACATACTCTTCCCCATACAATCCAACAAATGGGCTCTTTGGTATTTACCCAAAGGAATTGGAAACTTATGTCCACACAAAAACCTGAACACAGATATTTATAGCAGCTTTATCTAAAATTGCGGAAAAGTGGGAATATCCAAGATGGCCTTCAGCAGGTGAATGGATAAACAAAACAACGATACCTACAGACAATGGAATATTACTCAGCACTACAAATGAGCTATCAATCCATGAAAGGGCATGGGTGACACTTAAAAGCATGTTACTAAATGAAAGAAGCCAATCTGAAAAGTCTACACCCTGTGTAATCCCAACTATATGACATTCTGGAAAAGGCAAAACTATGGGGACAATAAAAAGATCTGTAATTGCCAGGGGCCTGGCAGAGAGGGACAAATAGGCAGAACACAGAGGATTTTTAGGGCAGTGTAATTATTCTATATGGTATTATTATCATGGATGCATGTCATTATACATTTGTCTAAACACATAGAACTCACAACTCAAAGAGCGAATCCTAGGGAAAACAATGGACTTCGGGTGGTAAAGATGTATCAGTGCAGGTTCACTGATTGTTACAAATGTACCAGTCTGGTGGGAGATGTGGATCATGGGGAGAACTATCCATGTGTGGGGGCAGGGGGTATATAGGAACTCTCTGTACTTTCCAGTCAATTTTACTGTGAACCTAAGACTGCTCTTAAAAAAAAAGTCTATTTAAAAAATATGTAGATACAGATATAGAGACCTAGATGAACCTTACTTAATACCTTTGTATACATGAAAACCTACTGTTAGCTCAAGCCTGCCCAGACTAGAGAGGAGTGAGAGGAAGATTAAGGGGAAAGCCTCGTGCTTGATTCTGGCACAGGTGAGTAGGGCAAAAAGTCACAGGCAGTGAGTGTTCTGTTACTCAATGGACCACACATACAAAAAGGCATTAGTCTGATCAGAAACAACAGATGTTACCAGTGGAAGAACAAGCAGCCTGGCGAGTCTCCCATGCTGGGGAAGAAAAGGGAGGGGGAGACGTGCCCCATAGTTGGAGGCCCAGCCCTCTGTACCCACTCATCACTTTTCCTGCACCCTTCCGTTGGATTCCTAGATCTGGGCTTCCCAGACTAGACTAGAAACAAGGATCACCTGCTTTAGAATCACCTGAAACTTTATAAAAATTTATATTCTCAGACCAAGCTCCTAGAAAACCAAATCCAGTTGTTCAGGGATAGGGTCCAGGGCTCTGCATTTTCAAAAAGCTCCCGAGGCATTCTGATGGGCAGCCGGGCTTCAGTGCCACAGAACCTTGCTGCTGAGGAGACCCTTGTACCTGCTACCAGGAAGAGAAGGAGAAATTGCATACTAAGCCTTTCTCTTGGATACCAATTACTCACCTGTTGGCTTTACCATATTGGTATTACCACCTGCCTGTTTTTTATTTCTCCCAAGGATCATCCCATCCCAGGAATTAGGGTAAGGTCCAGATTCCAGTCTTTCCATTACACTCTAATGGAAAAGAGTTAAATTCAGACTTGCCTGTCTTTCTTTCTACTCATTCATCTGACAAATACTTACAGCATTCCTCCTAATGGGCCAGCTATGATTCTAGGGGCTGGGAATACAACGATGAACAGGCAGGTAAGGTCCTTTCTCTCCTGGTGCTTCTCTTCTAGAAGATGGAGAAGTAAGAAATAAATAAGAAACAAAGATTATTTGGGGCAGAAGTGAGGACTGGAAAACAAAACAGCATGATATGACAGTGAGTGTTATAAGGAGGTGGGGTATGTTAGAGGTGGGAGGGTAAGACTCTTTAGACTGAAGCCTCAGTGGTGAGAAGCAAGTATCCCACTGCAAAGGCCACCATCAGGAAGAAGGTTGGTGTTTCTGGGATTTTCTAAGCCAGGGCTTAGAGAGTATCGAACAGGAGGAGAGGTGAGGTTGGAGAAGCATTATCCCAAATGCAATGGTAAGTCACTGACAGACTTGAAGCAGAGGAGTAATGTGATCTGGCTTATGTTTTAAAACACAATCCTCTGGTCACTGTGATAAAAATAGATTAAATAGATAAAAAGAGTTTGGGGTGGGTGAGGGAAGGGTTCAAGAGAAGAAGCAAGGAAAGCAGGTAGGTTACTGTGATAGTAGAGGCCAGAGCATATGGTGACTCGGACTGGGGTAGAGGTGATATTAGTGGGAAAATTCAAGACCTACTCTGGAGGCGGAGCTGATGAGTTTATAGTTTGGAAAGGAGTTGTGAGGAAAAGAGAAGAATCAAGGATGACTCTTAGGAACTCAGTTTTTAACCATTGGGTGAATGGTGTGGTAGATTTGAAGATAGTGTTTGGGAATGCTTGAAACACCTATTAAATGGTTAATTGACAAAGTGGAGTGGCATTAGATATATGAGTTTGGAGTTGAGGAGCATAAGAATAGTATTTAAAACCATTGTGGTAGGCTGAATAATGGTCCCCCAAATATGTCCATGTCCTAATACCTGGAACCCTGAAGGACCTATTGTGCATGAAGTCACTTAAAATATGTCTTTTGTAGCTCTCACATAACACCCAAGGTAGGTATTATTATCTTCCACTTAATAGATTGGGAACCTGAGGCTCAGAGAAGTGGAATGCCTTGTTCCAGGTTCCCAAACTGGAAAATACCTGTCTCACTTTCTAGTGCCTTACAGAATTTCTGCAAAGATGGGAGGTGGTAAAGAGTTGCACTGTGTGCTTTGAGACAGGTCCTTGGCTGCCAAAAACCTGCATAAGAAATGCAGTTCTACGAGGCCTGTCATTTCTTTGCCCGGTTCTGCCATATTATTTTTCTAACCTCCAGAGCCCTTGCTAGCCCAGTCACACCACATGACCACTCTTCAGCTAGTTTGTTAACTCTGGGAGGGCTTAGTAGGGTCATCAAATAATGAACGACCCCACATGCCAGGCCCTGCGCCAGGCACCTAACATTCATTCAATAATCACAGTAACTCTCTCCATTGTCTCTGGAGCAAGCCAGAAAGGCTGAATTACTGGCGAATGGAAAGAAGACAGGGCCAGGAGTAGGGGAGGGAGACTGGGTTCAAGTCCGGGGGTGTGGTGGGGGCATAGCCCTAACTGGGAGCTAAAGTAATCTTGGGCTAGTAACTTAGTCATTTAAGAAAAGCCAGTTAGATGATACTGCAGATGATCTCTAAACTCCCTCAAAAATGCGTATACGAGAGATTCTCTTCTTTCCCTACCCTCGGGCTCTACTATTATAGGAAACAATCTTAACCACCTGCTCAGCCCTGGGATGCTCTTCAATTTCCTCCTTAGAGATCAGTCCGGGCCGCGACTCAGTTAATTGCCTGGGTCGGTGCCGGGCTCCCCAGTTCAGGAGCGCTGAGAAGTGGGCAATAGGTTATTCCAGAAGGGAGACGAGGCTCCGAAAAACTACAACTCCCAGGAGCCCTTGGGCTGCCACTCGGCAGCCTGGGCCTGGTGCATGCTGGGAGCAGTAAATGGCCTCCCGTCGCGGTAGGCTCATTGTTATGGAAGCTCAGAACAGGTAACCCTTACGCACGCCCAGTCACGTCCCAACTAGTTCAGCTTCTTTCCTTCCTGCAAGCTTCTTCTCTTTCCGGCCTCGTCCAGGCCCACTTTTCCCCGCTCCACTCCGCCCCCTTTTTATAAATTTTGGAGGGGGCGGGGCCTCTGGCAAGCGCGTTCCCGGGGGGTTTACACGCGCGTTCACGGGAGATTAGAAAGGGAGGGGACTACAGATTGGAGGTGGAAGGTGGCGAGTCTAGGAGACCGCAGATAATGGAAGGCGCATGCGTTCCAGGGGCGGTGCTGCGAGGCTTCGGGAATTCAGTAGGGGCGGGGCGGAAATGGGCTGGTGGGCTGGCGCACGCGTATTGGGCCGCCAACGTCCCGCCTCCTTTTTTAGGTTTCCTCACCTCCTCCACCACTCTTCCGGAAGTGCCGCCGCCCTCGCGCCCACCAGCGGCCACCCCCTGCGGCAGGCCCCGCCCCCTACCGGCTCCGCCCCCCAGCTCTCCGCCCCCTCCTCCGGTGGTGGCGCCGGCTTGCAACCCGGGTCGTGGTGGTTTCGGTGCCCGAAGCCGGGAGCGCGGAGTCGTTCCCGGAGCGCGGCCAGGCTATGATCGCGGGTCCCCGGCGTCCCGCTCCGGCCAACCAGAGTCCCTGTCTCAGCTTGTGCCCGTGCCTGAGCGGTCTCCTCAGCCCAGCTCCGCGGTGCGGTTGGCGGCGGCGGCGCCCGGCGCGCCCCCTCCTCCGATGGCGGCGGAGATCCAGCCCAAGCCGCTGACCCGCAAGCCCATCCTGCTGCAGCGGGTCGAGGGGTCCCAGGAGGTGGTGAATATGGCCGTGATCGTGCCCAAGGAGGAGGGCGTCATCAGCGTCTCGGAGGACAGGTACGGACCGCCGCCCCTCGGCCGCTAGGAGGGGCGGGACGGGCCGGCGGTCCCGGAGCCCGCGTCCCGGGCTGTGCCTTCACATCGGTGCAAGTGTAGACATACTCCCCCAAGTTTTTATTATAATGGGCATCCTGGTGATGCTGGTGTCCAGCTGCGCGCCGCCGCCGCTGCGTGGCTCTGGGAAGCGGAGACCAGACAGCGGCTTGCGCTCTGGCCTTGCCCGGGGCTGGTGGCGCAGGCCGGGCCAGGGTGGCCCTTGGACTAACGGTGCGCCGGCCACTGGACCTTGGTCCAGCCCTAAGGACAGAAGGGGGAGAGGGAGGAGCCGCCCAGCCCTGCAGGAGTGTGCGTGGGGAGGATGCTCCGAGAGCCTTTGCTAGATAACTAAGGGTTTTTGAGTACTCTGATACAGTTCTTAAGGGCTCCAGACTGAAAAAGTAAATGCCACTCCCTTCTCCCGAACAGTCCCACTGAATCCAGATCTCCCATACATCTTACACTGAACTCAATGAATATTGCAAGTTGTGAAAAGAGTATAACTTTGGGCTTCTGAACGAAAGGAGAGGTGCCTTTTCTTCTTTGGTCTCCTTATTTCTTCGAGCTCAAGGGGAAGCGCCTAGAACTAACTTGCAAGGGACCCCTGCTGCAAATAGCTCTTGAGTTCCTTCCCTTTGCCTGCTTCCTTTCTTTTTGCCTAATTTTGCTTAATTTGCAGAAGTGGAGCCAGTTGTTCTGCCTTTAATATTTTCTCTTGTTTTTCAGACAATAGCATTTTCGCTTTAACTTAATTCATTTAATGTGCCGAAATCAGGCTGATGGAGCTGATTTCCACAGGAATGCTGCCCGACTATAGTAATTATGCTATTTATCTGGAAGTATTGCTTCGATAATACCAACTAGCATTCTAAAAAATGTAACACTATAGAGGCATATGACAAGGGGCTTTTCCTTAAAACGGTAGTTAGGTTAATTTTTTTTTTTTTTTTAGATTTTCTTATGTTGAGGTAGAGAATTATTTTCTTGGTGACCAGTACAATTACAGTTGGAGGCAGGGGTAAAGCAACAGTATCGGTTACTGTCTTTATAGTCATTTCAGCACTTTGCATACAGTATGGTCTCAAAAATATTTGCCTGATAGATCTATTCATATGATAGGTTCCTCAATATCACTAGGATGAGTATATTAATGACACGTACTTGTCTACATCATACTCCATACAAAAGGTGTTCCATTCATTTCCTATGTGGATCTAATGGGAAAAATTGTAAACATACACCAAAGCGAGCAGTCTGCATTGAACAGAATAAATACATTCTGGAGTACGTGGATTAAAAACCTTTTGACATTCACAAAGAAGTTTATGAGGGTTTAATTTTTGGATAGAGGCAAAATTCTATTAAGGAGATTGCTTCTGGACCTAGAAATTTTTTGTTGCAGAATTGTTTTTAAAGGAATATATTTGACATCACTTTCCAGTTTATGACGGCTATGGATGAAGAACTGCTCAACCTAATTGCTGTAGGAAATTCATGAATAAGTTTGTTGAATCAAGTAAAAGAAGGAAAAAAGTTGGTTAAACCTAAGTTCCTTTGATATTAGTTTTTTTAATTTTTTTTTTAATGTTTTTATTTATTTTTGAGACAGAGAGAGACAGAGCATGAGCAGGGGAGGGGAAGAGAGGGAGACACAGAATCAGAAGCAGGCTCCAGGCTCTGAGCTGTCAGCACAGAGCCCGACGCGGGGCTCGAACTCACAGACCGTGAGATCATGACCTGAGTCGAAGTCGGATGCTCAACCAACTGAGCCACCCAGGCGCCCCTATTCCTTTAATATTAGTTTTAAAACTTTTTGCTTTGATTGATAGTTTGGCAGTGGAGATAAGTTTTCAGTTTTTAAGAGTTCAAAGGGATCTTGGAGGTTATTTGCTCTAACAGCTTCATTTTATGGATGGGAAGATTTAGGCCAGAGAATTTACCTGCCCAACCTGGTGAGCAGGCCTAGTCCTCAGGCTTCTGCTTCCCATGTTAGTGTGTTATCTTGAAGGGAACAGGGTTAGTGGGATGCATTTCAAGGTATTTAGTGGAACTAAAGTAGCATATATGAGAGAAACTGAAAGATAAATTTCATTTCAGGATAGGTCAAAAGAAATGTGATGTGTAGCTATATAGTAGCTTAATTTTTATGTTTTAGTTTATAGGGCAAATCATAGGAATTATTATTATAGGGTTACTGCTAAATAAATAAGGCCCACCCGTAAGTCCAGAATTATTCTTTCTTTTATTTTTTTTTTAATTTTTTTTTTTAACATTTATTTATTTTTGAGACAGAGAGAGACAGAGCACGAACAGGGGAGGGGCAGAGAGAGAGGGAGACACAGAATCTGAAACAGGCTCCAGGCTCTGAGCTGTCAGCACAGAGCCCGACGCGGGGCTCGAACTCACAGACCGTGAGATCATGACCTGAGCCGAAGTCAGACGCTTAACCGACCGAGCCACCCAGGCGCCCCAGTCCAGAATTATTCTTTACGTGTGTTTTATTAATATTCAGATTGACAAACCTGTGTTTCTGTACTCATGGGTGACAATAACTTTGTTATTTAGAGCTCAGTTTTGATTATTGTTTTCATTAGAAGAGAATTGATCTGTATTCTTTCCAGAATCCACTGTCAGTGCCATTTGACATAATGCCGAAGTTATGAAGATAGAATATTGATTTTCATCAAAACCTACAAAGCCATTTCCTTTAGCTATTCTGCTTTAGCTAGAAACTATAGTTTTCATTCCTGAACTGTAAGGTTAAACCACAAATAATGTCGTGTCCTGAATGGCAGTGTCTTGGAAATTTTTTGAAACCTGGTTTCCCTTTTTGACCTATGACTCCAGATAGCCCTTATCTAACCTTTGAAAACACTTAACATTTTCTATTTTAAACAGTATCGTAGATACTTATGGTCCCTTCATCTTCTCCATAGTTTCCCTAAGGTGCTATGTGTGTCTTACTCGTTGTAGTATCTTTACGGCCTAGCAAATTGCCTGATCCATGGAAGGCCCCCAGACATTTGCTGTGTGTCAGTGACTGATAACATTTTGATTGTTGTTCCTGAGAGCATAGCGTCTTAACTCTTGTTGGCACTTAGTTGATATTTATCGAATGACTTTTATGACAACCTATGAAAGCCCTGTGTGGACGAATGTACACTTGTGGGAAAAGGATTGCATTGGATGGATGGTCTTTAGGATACCTTAAAACTCTGGAAGTCCACGCGTTGCTTCATTCATTCCATCAACAAACATTTAAGTTTCTGTTGTGTTCCAAACACACGTGCAGACTCCATTGGGTGAAATGGCAAGATCGTTTGCAGATACAATTCAGTGGGGGGTAAGTTTTAGAAGATAATAAAACAAAACCACAGCCTCTAAGATTTAGTACTGAAAGGAGAATTTTCAGATGGGAAAGAGTGGCTGGACTCCACAGCCCTTATTGTCCCTGCATTTTACCTTCTTTTGGAGGATTCTTTCACTTGCATTCATTACCATGTTCATGCTACTGCTGCTGTCAGTAGTGGGCTGATAGTATTCTAATCTTCAGGCCAAATCTGCAGGTTTTTTGATAAAAACCCTCACCCTCCGTTCATGTTAGCACAGTTAGAACAATCTGGAACTTTCCTGGATACCAAGGAAGGAATATAAGAAATATATAAACAATCTGATTTTCAAGTTTAGATTTCTGGGGCTGTCATAACATAGGACCTGCTCTTGGAACTCACTGGCCGTTTCTGGGTCTGTCTTTGCTTTGAGAATAGCCGGATTCTATCTCTGGAGGACTTAGCTACCTTTGGTACTTTGGGTTCCTCGTGAGTCAGCTGCTTTCTGAACTATCTTTTCTGAGTAGATGCCATTTTAACATTCCTTGCTTAGGAGCTTCCTACAAGGCATCTTAGCTCCATGTTGGTTAACACTCATGTAGCCTGCAGCTTACCAGGGGCTCCCTTGTCTGGTCACACAGCCTCTTCTTCAATGATGAAGGCCAGGAGAGACCTCTCTCCGGGTGGGACTCAGCCCCATCTAGACTTTTATGTTCGTATGTTTCTTTATATGCGTATTTTAACACAAGTCAACAATTTTGGCATTCATATAGAGAGTTTTAGTAACTCTAGGTAGTTGCTATTGGGCTGTTATAGGAAGCTGTTCTTTCCCTAGGAGTCTGTACCTTTGCGGTGGGTTAGGGACGGGGGAGGGGGGGTCCCGTTTTTTATCTCCGTATTAGGAGATGTGCCGAAGATAGGTACAGTGTCCTCTGTGTTTGCCACAGAATCTCCTCTGCTCGTGGTGGTTAGAAAAAAGGAGTGCTCCTGCGGATGGGTCTTGTAGGATGAGTAGGAGTTCATGTGACAAAGTGAGGGTAGAGGAGAGAGCATTGTGGGTAGAGGGGGAAAAGAAAACTCCCATTCACTGAGAAGCACTGGAATGGTTAAGAGTGTAGATTCAGGAGCCAGTCAGCTTGAATTCAGAACTTAGCTCTGAGTGATTTGAGGAATCTGGAAAATTGGTTTCTCCAAAGGAGTCACTGTGAGTGGAACTTTCTAAAACCTCTGGGGGCAAGAATTTGAAATTATTTTCTGGATAAAAAGATCTGAGGGTGTGGTGGTGGCGTGTTGGAGAGGACGCTCTGTGGGGAGGGGACACTGTAGGGGATGAGGGTAATGAGGGGACTGTGGGGGGAACTACCACGTGATATTCTAACTTTAGTCAGGACTAATTTGTGCAGCACAGTTAGCAGTGTTCTCTATAATCCTTAAGGGTAGACAGAACCCCCCCAATGGTGCAGGAGTCAGATTTTTAGGACATCTGGTCCCTAGTGCCTAGCATAATGCAGTGTGTGTTCATTGAAGGAATTAGAAATGACTGACGGATCACCAGTTTGGAATGAAATGAGCCTGAAGAGGTGGTGAGTTTCCGGAGCAAAGATACTTGAGTTGAGCTTGAGAGAAATTTAG